ACCTTGGGCCTCTTGTTTTTTAATGAACAGTCTTGACAATTTTACTCTCTTCGACAAATTTTTAATTGTCAGAACTCTCGGCAACCACCGAGCACAGACACGACTCATATTAAGATCACAGGGTTCGACATTAAAGTTAGTCCGTTAGTCTAAGACTAATACATTTTCATTCGGACTAATAAAATCTATGGCTAATTAGAAATTTTCTGGAAAAAATCAATAAATTACCGATGCAATGTTCGATTCTCTACGAGTTTCACTGGAAAACCCCGCATGTATTTTTAGCTTTCTAGCTTCTTGGCGGGAAGTTAGATAATTCCGAGTCAATTTGGAGCTCAGTTTTAGGGCTGATTGATATGAAATAAAACATTTTAGCGATCATGTTTTAGTATGACACATAAAGATGTCATCAGAAGTCGGATGTATAGAAAAAAACGAACAAGATCGGAAGTACGATCGCAGTTCCTGATCGCGATATTTCAACGAATTTTGGAATGAAGCATTTCAAGTAAATGCTTTGTTTATTTCAAAAAGTATAAAAAGTACATTGCAAAGATTATTTTTAAATTAACCGTTACAAAACATTGATGGGTTTTTTTGACGGACTCATAAAATTGCGTGCGGACTAGTAAAAGCAAAGAAGCACTAGTCCGGCCGGACTAAAGCCCAAAAATGTTAGTGTCGAACGGATCATGAGATAAAATTTCTTGTACCGAAGTTTTTCAAATTCCACAGTTCCTTGCAGTTTCTCGAACTGTTAGTCGCCAATCACTGTCGATCACGTCATGATCATGAACTTAGTTTTTTTTCTTTTTTACAACCGTTGCAGACAGATCAAGAGCACTGCAATCTCGGAATGATGGTTTTCCTTCACGTATGTCATCCTCTAAACTGTCCCTTCCGTCCGAAAATCTTCTGTGCCACTTAAACACTGAAGATTGGCTTACTTTAGTATATTTTCCCGACTGTTTAAAGTATTTATGGGTCTCTGTTGGTGTTTTTCCAATGTCTGCACAAAATTTTATCCCTGCTCTCTGATCCACCTCTTCCAAAAACGTCTCTTTTTCGAACAATAACGATCCTGTCTTGATAGGTTCTAATCTCAATTTCTCTGCCATTTCGAAACTTTGAATGTTCAATTTTTGCAGGTTTGACGTTATAACTTTTTTTCAACGTCATTATGTGAAAGTCATCCAAATTTCCGCGGAATTTTACAAAATACAAAAAAATTTATAAAGTGATAAATAACTTTTTTAATCAAAACTTTGCCGTGCGCACCATGCCACGTCTAATAATGAGGTCTTAATTATAATTATACGTTTAAAATTGAATAAAATTTTACATTTTGTAATTCACATACAGTACGAGGGTTGTCCGGTAAAATCGTGGACAAATTGTCTAGAGGAAAATAATCATCACTGCGTTCACTACCTTTTAGGACATTTTTCATCAATATACCTAGCAAATTTCAAACAGATATATTCTCAAATAAACAAAAATATGATACTTTATGTTATGTATTGTATCGTCTTACGGCGCACGGATGTTAACGTCAAAGTGTCTAAAGCAGCTTCACGTTTCTTCTTTGCTTAAAAAAAAGCTGGATAAAACCCACTCAAATTCGGTGATTCCATTGATGCACATACTTGAATTTCCTTTTTTTCCTCCATAAACAGTCGAGGAACCAATCTTGCACACACATGGGACCTTCTGAAGATTTATTTTTTTTAGTTATGGTCAGTATTCTCACTATCACTCAACTAAATAGGCTATCTTATATCAACGGTCTGCAGTGACGGCTTGTCATTCTTCTAGAAGACCCGATCAAAAAAGCTTCTGCTTAGAAAACTCCCATTTCACTTGTCTACTAAAGATCTAGTTATAGTTTCGTATTTTTTTTTCTTCTGTAGTTATTTAAAGTTCCTTTGGGAGGCATTTCTACATCTATGTCAAACTAAACTGCTCCCCGGTGCACCGTAACGTCATTAAACGTTGGCATTTTTCATGTGTTGCGTTTACCACTTTCCCATTTCAAATGCTTGGGAAACTGCAAAAAATTAAGCAATTGCCTTGGAATTTTACAGAAGACGACATAATAGGTAGTGGATTAAAAATAGGATAATTTTACTCCAACCTTTTCTATTTAATACTTTTATTTCGAAATAATACTCGTGTATTTGTTAATGAAACCCTGTTTTTAGGTCACCTGAGTCACTCAGGTGACCTATTGCTATCTGTTCTCGTCCGTCGGCGTGCGTCGAGCGGTGTGCGTCGTGTGTTAACATTTGAACATTTTTATCTTCTTCTCTGAAACCACTTAACCAATTTCAACCAAATTTGGCATATAGCATCTATGGGTGAAGGGGAACAAAAATTGTGAATTTCATGGTCCCTGCCCCCTGGGGCCTGAGGGGTGGGGCTAAAACCACTGAAAATAATGCAATCTTTAAAAATCTTCTTTACTCCTGGACATCAAGCAGTCAAACTGTTGGCATCATAGTAATAAGCATTGAGCCCTCTACCAAAATTGTGAAATTCATGGCCCCAGGGGCAGAGGTTCTGGTGCTAGGGTGGGGCTATATAGATCATATAGTGAAAGTGCATTATTTCTTTGAAAATCTTCTTCTCTGCTCCTGGGTATTAAATAAACTCTGCTCCTGGGTATTAAATAAACTAACTAAGTACATAGTTATGATGAGCAAGAGTGCCTCTTCCAAAATTGCGAATTTCATGGCCCCAGGGTCAGGGGTTCTGGTGTTAGGGCAGGGCTCTATTGATTATGTAGTGAAAATGCATGAATTCTTTGAAAATCTTCTTCTCCACTCCTGGGTATTTAATAAAGTAACTTAGTACATAGTTATGAAGAGCAAGAGTGCCTCTTCCAAAATTGTGAATTTCATGGCCCCAGGGTCAGGGGTTCTGGTGTTAGGGTAAGGCTCTATTGATTATATAGTGAAAATGCATTAATTCTTTGAAAATCTTCTTCTCTGCTCCTGGGTATTAATTAAAGTAACTTAGTACATAGTTATGATGAGCAAGAATGCCTCTTTCAAAATTGTGAATTTCATGGCCCCTGGGTCAGGGTTTATGGTGTTAGGGTGGGGCTCTATTGATTATATAGTAGAATTGCAGAAATTCTTTGAAAATCCTTTTCTCTGCTCCTGGGTATTAATAAACTAACTTAGTACATAGTTATGAAGAGCAAGAGTGCCTCTTCCAAAATTATGAAATTCATGGCCCCAGGGTCTGGGGTTCTGGTGTTGGGAGGGGGGGGGGGGCTCTATTGATTATATAGTGAAAATGCATTAATTCTTTGAAGATCTTTCTTTTCTGCTCCTGGGTATTAAATAAAGTAACTAAATACATAGTTATGATGAGCAAGAGTGCCTCTTCCAAAATTGTGAATTTCATGGCCCCAGGGTCAGGGGTTCCGGTGTTGGGGGTGGGGGGGGGGCTCTATTGATTATATAGGGAAAAGGCATGAATTCTTTGAAAATCTTCTCTGCTCCTGAGTATTTTTCAAACAAAGGAAGTGTATGGTTATGATAAGGAAGAATGCCTCTTCCAAAATTGTGAAATTCATGGCCCCTGGGTTAGGGGTTTTGGTGGGTGGGTGGGGGGGGGGGAGCTCTATTGATTACATGTATATAGTGAAAATGCATAATTTCTTTCAAATTTTTTTTTATCTACTACTGGTTATAAACTAAAGAAACAAGTGTATAGTTATGATGAGAAAGGGTGCTTCTTTCAGAATTGTGAGTTTGTGGCCAATGGGTCAGATGTTCTGGTGTAAGGATGGGGCTTTGTTTATTTAATAATATGGTGAAAATGCATTTCTTTGAAAATCTTCTGTGCTTCTCTGGATGTTTAAGGCAAACAGAGTAAAAGTTTTAATATGCAAGGGTATTTTTACCAGAATTTTGAACACCTGGACCATTTAGTCAAGTTTTCTGGTCCTGGCCAGGGCTCTATTAACTTGTATTCTACTGAGCAAAGTTATTCCCCTTAGCCATTCACCTTTGATAATTAATCAATGTACATAATGTATTTGAAAGCTTAATAGAATAAGAGAATTATGCAAGAAAATTTATTGTATAATAAAAAAAAGTACTTTTATAGTTTTAATGACTTGGAAATAATAGATGAATAAAAATGAGACAAAAATAACTTATCTTTTTAAATGTTCTTCACTGGCCAAGAGAGGCCATTGTGAGAAGGAATAATAGGGGTTAATAATGGACGTTATGTTAATAGTCTGCATGGGAATAGTGATAAATGGGAGGAGGGGGGGGGGGGGCAGATAGATAATAGACCAATTATTTTGTTGATGCTAATCATACTATTTTTCTTGCTGTTGGGCAACAAAGCTTCATTTATCAGTTTATGGATCCTCTAAATTGTTGTATTGTACTCAGGTGACCATTAAGGCCCTTGGGCCTCTTGTTTTTTTTTTATCGTGAGCCGTAGGTCTGTACAATGTGCACATTCAGCATAATAAAGTCTTTATTTTTGTCCATATTTAATCCAAAAAATTAAGCTGCGCTCGTGTTTTATTTCTTGTACGGCTGTTTGATAGATTGTTTGATTAACAATCATACGGCGGAATGGAATCTAATAAATGATCGAACTTTATACAATTGCATTTGTACATCTTTATCAAACGGTCACATAAATACATGTATTATGCATGAACCCATTTGTAATGCGACTTTTAAAACTAAGCATTTACATATTTGCGATCTGGGAAATAGTAATGCTCTTAATTTTTGTGACATCACGCATTTTGTGCAATCACCTCGAATACTTCCCCTTAGATTTTCAATTTTATCATGATTTATCCTTCAAAAATTATACGTAGATGAGTGAGAATATTCAGACAGAACATTTCAAGTTTTCAACTGAAACAAAATAATACACAAAATGGGTTTATTTCTCCCTACGGAATTCGAAGATGCACTTTGTAATTGAGGGGTAAAGAAAACTTTCAATATTTTTTTAAGGCCGATACGTCTCGAAAAGGATTTAATTTACCTGCCTGGGAAGTCTGAAAACAAAGAAGTTATAGAAAAAGCTGCCGCCCAAGATTGGAAGAATTTTCTCTCCGTGAGATCCAGAGAGATGAAAAAAGGTAATCCAATGCCAAAAGATTATGATTCCTACAAATTATTATTTTTTTCATGAGAAGAGCACTTCGATTCTTCATAACATATATTTTTCACCTATTCTGCATACAGCCAGTAAGGAGTGACTTCCAGGAATATTCAGTTATATTTCGGTTAAGAGATAATTGCCCCAAAATAGAACTCGCCAATGAAAGGTTTTGAACATTATAGAATTTAAAATAATGATTTAAATAGTCAAAGGAGCGTTTAAGATACAGGTGACTCTCGATCTCTCGAAATTCAAGGGACCGCAAGAAAAGTTCGAGAGATTGAGGGGTTCGAGAGATAGAAAGTGAATAAAATCCGGAATTTTCAGTTCCGATCATCATTGTATTACTATTATAAATACCGGAAGCACATGTCGATAATGTCATTGCACGTTTTTATTCGTATTTTACAGGTAATTCACTACAATGATCGTATTTTGAATAAATAAAACGATCTCTTTAAGTTTCAGTATTTATTTGTTCTCATTTCATGATAACATGAAACCTGAATAGCAATCGTCGGTGTGGCTACCCTCCGGGCTTCATCGTGTCCTTCACCAGATTTCTCATATTAAATGGGTATTCAGTTCTTCAGATAGGATTTCTTGTGCAGTGTTTGTCATACTGGGATTATGTAAATTCTAATAAACCTTCATAATCTATGAAAAATTATTGACACGTCTCTTAGATTATTTTCTAAAAGTTATCGTCTCGCTGTCAAGTCAAAATAAGTTGTGAAGCAATTCGTTTATAGTTTACCAATTGTAACCAATTAATTATATAAACACTCGGATGCTCACAGGTATAGTGTCATCTATGTAAACACCCAATTAACACCTACATGCCAGCCCGAGGCGTTCACCGTTATCCAGGTAAGTCCAAGCTGCATTAATTTTACGCTTGATTGGCATGCACACGCGCAATCAAAACTTCGAGAGATAGAGAGTAAAAAACGATGAAATGTGTGTAACGGGACCCAGGTCTTGGTTCGAGAAATAGAGAACTTCGAAAGATCGGAAGTTCGAGAGATCGGAAGTAAATTTGCTTAGTTATATAGAAGAAAAAAACGGGACCGGGGGTTCACTTCGAGAGATCGGAGTTCGAGCAATCGAGAGTCACCTGTATGTGAACAATTTAGAAATAAGGTGTAATTTATTGAAACATCCATCGGGATACTGATACCGGGTCACGTGTTCAAAACAAACTACGTATCATCTAGCATTATTAAAAAGTCATAACTAACCGGTAACTACCCCAAGATTAATTATGACTAACTTCTAACAACTAATGCAAAATAATCACCTTAAACGCAGCAGTATATACTGTACGTAGATTCGTTAATGTATAGGCACCACTCGAAAAATAAAATTACTGGCTTTTATTCTTTTTAAGCTGGAGTGCATTAAAAAGTCTTCGTCATTGGAGAATTTATATTCTCGCGATTACGTCTAAGTTTTGAAGGCGATTTTAAGTCATCATGTAAAAAAAAGGAATCTACAGTAAACAGAACCTGATTGGTTCCGGTCCTAGACCAGGAACAAATGAAATAGTAGAGCTCTTTCAAGCCCAACTTTTAAATAACGACTTATGTCAAGGGTTTGTGTGGAGTTCTGAAATCACAAAACCTTGACATTGTGAGGATGAACATACCTACAAATGTGAATAAGTGATGATAATAAAGAAGAAGGTTATTACATTAATTATTTACGTTGTCGTCTCAAAATATAACAAACCGTGTGTTCCTAACATATTCTTTTAAACCACTTCCAAAATAAAACATTTCCAAAAGCCGTTCTAAATAGTCCTCCTGGGCCTGAAAATGATGCTATCGAAAATTTGCCTATTTATACTGTCATTTTGGGTGGCAAGACAATTCTATCCAACGTGCTGCGATCGTACATGACGTGTACAGACAGTTTTGTTGTGGAAGTAGTAAAGAATATGTTAGGAACACACGTTAGTAATATTTTTATATATACTATGAAAAAAACGAGAAACAGCTCTTTTTTTCTGCACAATAAATACAAACTTTTTTCAATGGGTGGCACTGTAGCTCTCTGGTCGTCCACCCCAATTTTTTCAGACCAGTGAGCTACAGATCTGCAGCTAGTATTCATCAAGACCGCCCCATGATGAAGAGCTTTCGTTTTCAGTTGCTGTGCTTAATCAACGACTAGTTCAAACAGAGTCGACTGCACTATAGAATCAGATAGTTCATCTGAAAACATAATCACATTTATATCTATAAAAAAATTAGCTAAAATTACCTCAGTAAGATACGTTTAAATTACACTAGGTTTAATGCGTTATATACACCAAAGGGACTTTGTGACGTCATTCAACCGCAAGTTAATTAACATTAAGCATATAGCAATTTCCCCTTCATTTCCCAGTTAAGCAAAGGTATTTTTGTACTAAACATAATCTGACATTCTTTAATACCAATCTCTATATTAAAAAGTAAAATCCTTGTGTTTAAAACCGTTTCGTATGACTTTTAACATGTCATATATCTTTAAACATTTTTAGGTGCTGTGTTTCTCTGTATTGTGCTCTACTGCGCTACAGAATTAGCTGAAATTCTTTGTGATGAATTCCATCAACTTTATGAAAGAAATATCATAACAAAGGTAACAATTCCTATTTACTATTTTATTAATTATTTTATTAATTATATGCAAGGCTTTTAAAATGTATAATTTCGATAGCTTCCGTACTGTGCTTCGGCAGTATAAATACCAAAACATGGTTGTGTCAAACAGTGTCAATTTCAGTAGTGGTGAGTTTAATTTTTTTCACATTTGCGACAAGTGAGACCGTCTTGTCTAGAGAGTGAAACCAAATTTGTTGTTAAGGATATATAACAAACTTTTATTAGAAATTAGCAATAAGTGTAATAGTTTATTTTCATGTAGATAACTTTAATAATGATCGCCGGAGTTATTTTTGAAATTTTTTGTTAGATTTTGTAATATGTCATAAAATGTGTGCAAAAATTTGTATAAATTTTTACAGAAAATATCACAAAGTCGCATAGTTGAACACCAAAGAATACCCACGATTTCTTTATATTTTAGGATTTTATTTACGCCATTTCTATTCAAATTCAATCAAAAATTATAAACCAATCCATGTATTGAATTTCTTGCTTGTGTTATTTATAATTAGTTACAGAATTACTGTGTTGTAAAAGTCATCTACATCCTTCACCTTTCTGTTTAAAATTCTGCTACAAATCGTGAGGCCATTATTTTCATACTGAATTGACTACAGATTTCTACCCGATAATGTCAAAGGAACACGGCTCGTGTGACCGATCGACAAGATATGGTTACTACTCAATGGCGCTTGATCCACCTCTGATGTTTCCCGAGGCCTGTTTGCTCTGTTCACAATTCCTATAGTTTCATTACTTGAATTTTGAGTATGGTTACTGATCGTTATCATCACATTTCATTTAGAATAGGCATGTGATGTATTTATAGGGGTTTAGGAGGTACAAATTTTCGACGAGATATATTCAAATAAATATATCTAGCATGAACATGGACACATTAAGAAATATAAAAAAAAAACTTGACTTCGTGAAAAAATTCTCCAAGTAGAACAGAAGTTATGAAATTTTCAATTTTGTAAATACTGTCATTTTATGTAAGAAAGTTTAACTATACATTGGTACTAAATGATGGCATATGAAAGGAAAGAAAATCCTTTAAATCTAAGTAATTTTAAAGGGATAGGGTCTTATTATATTTAGAAGTATGGCAAACTATATATTTTCGGAAAGGTCTATGCAAGTACTAATTTTTGTTTCCATGGCAGCTGACAAATATTCAAAATGGAAGCAAAATATCCAATATGGCCACCAATAGTGAAAATGCCCGACACAACATCTTACTGATAAAATGCTTTCAAAATCATGTAAATTACGAATAATAAGATTTAATTTATTACTTTTAAAAGATTTATGGAAATAGTCTTCTAAATCAAATATGGTCACCAAAAGCCGGAGAACTGCCCGACATCGCAGGAAGAAAGCTTTCAAAATTATGAACATGGCAAGGGCAGACCTGTTTACCCAAATTGTTGTCTCTCAGTATTTTTCATTAGATTTGTCAGTGAGATTTGGCATTTGCCCGTAAGATTTCACTTTTCATCGACTGTACATATATTACTAGAAAACAACTACATTTCTGATTATCAAAACATGGTTTAATAACAAAGCAAAACGTCATACACTGCTCTCTTTTGAGTGATTTCTGTCATTTTTTAAACCACCGCGTTTTGGCAACTTAAATGTTTGAAAATTTTCTCTTCTTTAGCGATTTAAAAGCATCAAACTGAGACAGATAACGAAAACTATTTGCTAAAATCCATATGAATGGATTTCTGTATTTTTGTTATAGCAAAACGTAAGACGTATTTTGGACTGAAAATCCGTACAAAATACGGCGTAACCGTAAGAGTAAACAGGTCTGCAAGGGTTGGGGAAAAAGAAATTAGTACAGTTAATTCACAATTTTATTTCATACAGATCTTTAAAATACAATGGTATTACATTTTCAATATCAATTAATAATTGTTTATATTTATTCTGAATTATCCATAATTCCAGGACAAGTTGAGCGTAACGCAGCAAGGTTAAGGCTGTCCGAAGGCTTAATATGCATTAAATATATACTATTTTATATTGAGAAATGTTTTGATTTCAATTTGTAATCTATGTATACATACACAGTTAAGTTGTAAAGAAAGTTGAATAAGGTATTACAAAAAACCATTTTTGTGATATCACATGACTGTGTTGATCACGTGACGGACACTTATAAATTTTCTTAAATGTTGCACAAAAATCGCATCGGCACAAGTGAAAAACAAAATTACTGTGAACGGCTTGTTACATAAATCAATTAAACGTATTCTTGGGTGTATATAAAGTGCTGGGGGCAAGTCTGAATTTTATTTCATAAGAAAATATTTCACGAGAAATTCAACTTACCCACATACAAGGAGTCATTTTCCACACTTCATCGCAATTTATACAAAATAGGATAAATTACATACGATCCCCCAGCAAAATTCAGTTAGAGGACATATTTCTCTATTAGATTCACACAGAATATCTTCAATTAATCCTTATTATTCACTTGTGCCAGTCTAATATATATAAGATTTATAGAATTTTCGTCTGTCTACAGACACGTTTGGGGGGCATTTCACATTCTTTTTTTCAATTGTTTGAATACATACATGTTAGACAAGAAAAAGTAATAACGATTTTATACTGCAAATATTCACCATCATTACAGCCTTTAAACAACAATCCAGACACATGAATTAAACAACAACGTAAAAAGAAATCTACATGTGATGTGAAAGGAATGTAAAAGTTATGACACTTTCCCCGTCATATCAGCTCAAGTATGCAGTGACTTGACGTCATATGCCATTATGACGTCATATCTAGGTAGTTCAGAGAAGTTACTACGGCTGGCACACTGTGACATTCATCGGACGGCCTTATCCTAGCCGCGAAGTTCATCTCGGGCATCAGCTACTACCGGCGGGTAACATAGTCATGATATGGAATGATCCATCATTTCAGAAGTCTAACTATACTTGCTGAAACAAAAATTAACCAAAGTATCTTGTTCATAAGCAAAAATAAATAAGTAATTTTATAAGTAAATAAAATAAAATTTTCTTTTACTGTATCACAAGTTTTAAGAAGTTCAGTTAATTATGGGGTGTTTCTGAGGAAATCCTGGCTACACAATCAAATTTGTAGTTAGAAATGACCATAGTTTTCATAGATTTCTTCCAAGAGGTCTAAAGAAATTTAATCTTAAATTTTCCATTTTCTCCTGTATTACGATAAAAAAGTATGCATGTTAGAAACAGTGTTCAAAAGTCGCGTGCGGTGATGATTTTAGAAATGTAATCCGGGTGAATTGTTTTCGAAATGATTACAGAACAACAATATTCAGATAAGAAAGTTTCTCAGCCTTCTGATAGTGTATGTGGCATAAAATTATTCCGTTTACTTACCGTAGTAAACTTGATCTTTCACCTTTGAAACGAAAATACACAAACGTCTACACGTTGCATTAGGATGCAACAATAACCACATTAATCTTCAAATTGTAACCTTTCCCTGTGATAAGTCAATGTCGTTCATTCCTTAAAAATTGCCTACCGGAAAGCCAATCAAAATGACGCCGTCAACGTCACGGGGATAAAATTACAGCGTCATGCAACGAAAGAGAAATTCTGCTTCCAATTTTAGCACAACTTCGACCCGGTTAAGTTTTATTGTAAACTTAGTAGAATGACATAACACACATCATATGAAAGTTCGAACAATTTTAGGTTCATTATTTTTATTTTCTAGATAATTATGATTAATAACGCAAAAATTACGTTTATAAACACCAATAATTTGCATGTAAACGGCACCGATTACATAGCTATAAAGTCGAGTTACCTGAGCCCCCTACTTGATGTAATCATAAAAAAATTAGATACTAACGCTGTTAGAGTATTGTTCCATGAAAACTGAAAAATGTGACTTAATTTATGTGTATTGTACGAGAACATTCAAAAGATACGTAGTCTATTTCTAAGGCTTGTTTGCTCTGTTCACAATTTACAATTCATTGCTTGACTTTTGAAAATGATTACTGATCGTTAACGTCACATTTCATTTAGACTAGGCATTTGTTGTTATCATAAAAAATATTAGATACTAACGCTGTTAGAGTATTGTTCCATGAAAACTGAAAAAAATGTGACTTAATTTATGTACGAGAACATTCAAAAATAGTACGTAGTCTATTGTCATTTTTTTTTTGTCTCCGGCTTTCGCGAAAGCGAGGGAACATATTAAATCTCATTCGTCTCTCACAAAAACTTTAACCTTGGTCATGAATTTTGAATGAGATAGGGCTTTCATATTTCACATGAACATTACATGTGCCTGTGACATGACCATTTTTAAATATACTATGAATTTTGATCCCGTAACCTTGGTCTTGAAGATTCAACTACTTTTCATAGATTAAATCTCTGTTTGTAACTTTTGATTAAAACCAATTGATTGATTGTATGTTGTTTTACGTCCCATTCGAGAATTTTTCACTCATATAGAGACGTCACCATATACCGGTGAAGGGCCTCAAATTTTGACCTTTAATCGGCACTCAGGCCATTGAGCAGTGAGGAATCTTTATCTTGCCAACGCCTGCCGTGACACGGGACCTCGGTTTTTAAGGTCTCATCGGAAGGTCGCGCAACTTTCACCTCAAAGTGCCGAGCGCATGGCGAAGTTGCTACCCATTTTTTATCGACTTAGGTCAGTCGCCGCCGATATTCGATATCACGACCTCCCGATCACGGAGCTAGCGCTCTACCGACTGAGCTACTGTGAACGGTCTCTTGTATAATGAAATATCGTAACTTTGTCGCTCCTTGATGACTGAAACGTTAAGCACTTTTCTTGCTTATACGTTCCATAGACATTGTTTGAATTAGAAAGGCAAGCATTTTGTTTAAGTTCTCTCTCTCGAGTTTTTCACTCATATGGATACGTCACCACTTGCCGGTGGAGAGCTACAAATTTTGACCAATACTCGGCACTCAGGGCCATTGAGCAGTGAAGGATCTTTTTTCGTGCCAGCACCTACTGCGACATGGGACCTCGGTTTATACGGTCTCATCCGAAGGACCGGTCTCCATGTCCCACAGTCGGAGTCGGACCCGCGACGTAAGGATAGCGGGGAGAAACAATTTTACAAAGCATAGATACTTGAAATTATAATTAGGTCAACAATGGGGTAAAATCATTACGGAGTTTTGTAGTGACGTGGTACAGCATGATACCAGATGTCATCCCGTACCCGGTCGTCGAGCCATTTCCGAAATATCTTATCTAGGTATCATCCGGTTACTACAGAAGTATCTAATACATTTGTAAATAAAAAAAAGTCTCAACTTGTTATAACAGGAGGAGTTGTCAAACACAACCCTACCATCGTACCCCTACAGAACAGAGTCCGAGCTCAGGGCACCGTTTGACGATATTGGACAGCAGATCGGCATTCAACTTCTAGAACTGCGGAAAAGACCTGTAAGGTCCTGTGAAAATAGTAAGCATAGGTTACATTACTTATGTTTTTAAGTTCAACTAGGACGTGTGCACTTGTACGGCACAGTAAAAAGGATATCGTACATGCTGAAAATATCTTTTAAACAGAGGATGTTGTGCATGCCTCTTTTGATATAATAATAAAAGTAATAATTGAGTTGTGAACTTAACTACTTGAATTGATTATGGACAAATAAATATTTAGAAGAAATAATATTACAAAAGAGATTACAATTTGATGATTTAACAAGGTTTTTTACTAAATAAGTACATTTTCCCCTGTCTGTATCTTTGTGTCATGAAATCATCAAATGCAACGAAGTACTGGTAAAATATTTGAATTTTTTTAGCAAACGAGTGCGATTGTGAAAATTTTGTTATATTGCATACTGTAATACATCACAGTTGTTTTTGACAACTTCAACTTTGCGCGTTGCTCAAATTTGTACCAATACCTTTATAAATTGCAATAATGTTAAATTCAAACAAATATTAATTTCCCTGATAATAACTGAAATAATAATAATCATGTAGCCAAGAGCGTATATAGTTAATGCCATGGCCATTTGTACGTGTGCGTAAATTTTGGAATATGGGTCATATCTCGGGAACCCTTTGGTCTATTTTTTTCAAATTTGTCACAGAGTATCTTTGGCCCAAAGGCTTTCATTAATTTTAAAAGAAAAGAAATGTAACCCTAGACAAGAGGAGATTATAAGGGAAATAAAAACAAAAGTAGAGGTTACTGAAATTTTTTTCTCAAGAACCACTTGGCAGATTTTCACCAAACAAGGATAAGGATGTGTTGTAGATTTTTAAATAGTTCAGGGAATCACCCTGGGGCAAAGGGCGTGGTCTAAAGGTCAGTTCAAAGTTGACCTAAAAATTCCGTTTTGTTAAAACTTGGATATTTTGACCACTATTAGGAAAAAGGTCATCAAATCTTGTAACTTGATGCATCTTAGGACCTTGTGTCTTGTTAACTAAAAGGTAGTTCAAGGTGATGTACTTTTTTAATTTTGCAGGTATTCGTTTTCAATTAGACTATGATGCATATTTTGGACACTTTGATTGATTGATTGATTGATTGATTGTATGTTGTTTTACGTCCCATTCGAGAATTTTTCACTCATATAGAGACGTCACCATATACCGGTGAAGGGCTTCAAACTTGGACCTTTACTCAGCACTCAGGGCCATTGAGCAGTGAGGGATCTTTATTGTTCCAACGCCTGCTGTGACACGGGACCTCGGTTTTTAAGGTCTCATCTGAAGGTCCCGCAACTTTCACTTCAAAGTGCCGAGCGCATGGCGAAGGAACAGGTTCTACCCATTTTTTATCGACTTGGCTCAGTTGCGGCCGAGATTCGAACTCACGACCTCTCGATCACGGAGAGAGCTCTCTACCGACTGAGCTACCGTGAACGGTGGGACACTTTAAAGCCTAGAAAATTAAATCTTGTGTATGCTCCTGAATCGGGCCTTGATGTGTGTCAACCAAAAAGTAGGTCACCTTGACTTCTTTTTAAATTTTACCGCTCATCATTTTAAAACAATTAGGGTCATTATTTCGAATACCTGAGAGGTTTAGATTCTTAAACCTTGTCAGTTGATGCTCCTTGGGGCCTTGAAACATATACATGTATATCGAAAAGTAGGACACAGTGACCTACTTTCTGAATTTCGGAGGTATTTATTTTCAAATTGTTTATTGTTGTTTAACGTCCCTCTCGAGAATTTTTCATTCGTATGGAGACGCCACCACTTGCCGGTGGAGAGCTGCACATTTTGACCAGTCCTGGCCATTGAGCAGTGAGAGATCTTTTTTCGAGCCAGCACCTACTGCGACACGGGACTTCGCTTTATACGGTCTCATCAGAAGGACCGGTCTCCATGTCCTACAGTGGGATTTGAACCCGCGACGTAAGGATCAAATTCTTACTCCGCGACTCTAGAGCAAACGCTTTAACCACTACGCCACTTTTTTTCAAATTGTTTTAGATGCATATTTTGAACACTGTAAAGCCTAGGATCATCAAACCTTGTCAGTTGATGCATCCTAAGGCCTCGAAGTATATGAACCAAAAAGTACGTCAGTGACCTATTTAAATGGCTGTATTTAAATATTTAACGGAACAATTGGCTATAAATCATCAAACTTTATTAGTTTATGCAACTTGGGTCTTCGAAGTGTGTCGACCAAAGAGTAGGTGATGGTGTCCTACGTTTGGAATTTTAAGGCAATATCTCAATATTTCAAATAATTAGAGTTTTGATATCATCATACGTGGTCACTCGATGCATCTTTTGTCCCTGAAGCTTGTCAACTTAAAAGTAAGTCGCTGTGACTTACTTTTCTAATTCCATGGTTATATCTTAATATTTCAGATACTAATCGGCTAAGATTCATCAAAATTCGTCACTTGATAGATTTGGAACCTTAGATTGTGTCAAGTAAAACGTAGGTTATGGTAACCTAATTTGGAATTTTAACGCAATATCTAAATATCTCAAATAGCAAGAGGTTTAAAATCATCAAACTTTGTCGGTTGATGCATCTTTGATCCTCGGAGTAAGTCAACTAAAACTTAGGTCACGATGACCTACTTTAGATTGTTGATTGATTGTATTTTGTTTCACGGCCCTTTTGATAAATTTTCACTCGTACATGCAACCATATACCGGTGAAGGGCTTCAAACTTAGACCTTTACTCGGTATTCCGGGCCATGGAGCAGTGAGGGATCTTTATCGTGCCAACGCCTGCCGTGACACAAGGCCTCGGTTTTAAAGGTCTCATCCGAAGGATCCGCAACTTTCACTTCAAAGTGCTGGGCTCTTGCGGAAGGAATAGTTGCTATTTTTATTGACTTAGGTCAGTCGCGGCAGTGATTGGAACACAGGACCTTCCGATCAATGAGCAAGCGCTCTACTGATCGAGCTACCGTGACAGTGACCTATTTAAGAAATTCCATGGCTATATTTAAATATTTGAGATACTTATTAGCTTAGATTCATCAAACTTTGTCAGTTGATACATCTCGGGTCCTCGGAGAGTGTCAAATAAAAAGTAGGTCACGGTAACCTATTATTGGAAATTTAAGGCAATATTTTAATGTTTCAAGTAATAAGAGGCTATGAATCATAAAGCTTTGCCAATAAGTGCATCTTGGAATGTCGGAGTATGGTCAGGGTAACCTAATTCTTGAATTTCACAACTATATCGAAATATTTCGGATAATGAATAATCAAACTTTGTCACTTGATGAATCTTGGGTCTTTGTAGTATTTCAGCCAAAAATTGGGTCACGTGACTTATTTTTGGAACTTCATGGCTATATTTAAATATTTCAGATATTAATTGGCTTAAAATCATGAAACCTTGTCAGTTGGTTTATCTTGGGTCCACGGAGTTTGTTTTATAAAAAGTAACTAAATGTTCCAAATAATAAGTGGCTTAGAATAGAAATGAAAGGTCGTACAATCACAAAATTTGGTCACTGTGACCTACTTTTGGAATTTTTAAGGCTTTATATGAATATTTCAAAAATATGGGGCTAAGAATAGAAATGATGGAGTTGTACAATTTATCAGAAGAGAATTCTAAGCCTTGGATCGCTTGTTTTTATTTCAGAAGATATTGTTGGCAATGTGAGGTTATGGCTGTTTTGCACTTTAATGGCGGGACTCGGTAAAACCAGAAATGACAAGGAAGCTGGAGAAATCTGTAACACCTATTTTGAAAATTTAAGAGATCGGTTATCAGACTGGAATTATATTGATTTTTTCGTGTTTGATGTTATTTTCCAGAAAATGTAGTGATATTTTAAGTTACACGAGTTTCACAGGAGATGTCTTGCGAACTTTTTCGGACCTTTTGTATCATCATTAGTGGATTTGTATATTAATTTATCCTTTTTGCCTTAAAGGTGCTTAGACACGATTTGAAGTTAATATTTACTCAAATTTTCTGTTTAATTTCATGACTTATATGTTGCTATAGCATTTCATACGAAAATTTGATTAAAATCTTATTTTATCTGGAAGTTATTGAAGCTTCGAATTTCTGGACGCGTTTGATAGTCACATCCTTGCACTTTCACAAATTTTAACTTTATCCTTATTACTTAAAAAAAGTAGCAATTTTGTTGTTTATTAGTGAAAATTATTAAAAGTATAATGCAGAAATTTTAGAGTAGAAATGTAGAAAGCAAACTCCTCTCACCAGTATTGTCAGTCCGTGCTCAGTGGTGTTTGCAGAGTTTAACAATTGAACACACCCGGAGAAACGTAAACATTAACAACAACAGAGCTCGTGCTCTGTTTACAAAGACAGGTTACGTTTCACGGGTGTATTCAATTTGTTAAACTCTGTACACAACTACACAACACTAAGCACGGGCTGACAATACTTAAGTGAGTGGGTTTTGCTTTCGCACATTTTTACTCTGAATTTTCTGGATTATAGATATATTATTCATTAAAACACAACAAAATTGCTACTTTTCTCAAGTATTAAGGATAAAGTTAAAAATTGTGAAAGTGCAAGGATGTGTTGATAAAAAGCCTCCCGAAATTCGTAGTTTCAATAATTTCCAGATTAAATAAGTTTTTAATTTTATTTTCGTGTGAAATGCTATAGCAACATATAAGTTGTGATATTATACAGAAAATTTGAGAAAATATAAACTTCAAATCTGTGTCTATGCACCTTTAAGGATAAATAACACAAACTTTTTTTCCCCCAGAAATCTGCAATATTTCTCATAGAATAATATTAAATAGATTAACTGAATATTTTCCAGGTAAAGTGAGAGAATTTTGTAATATTTTGTCACTATGACAAAAATATGTGCAAAATTTTGTTTAGAATTATATAGAAAACGATACAAAGTTGCAAATCTCAGCACCAAAGAAAACTTCGATTTCTTTATATTTCATTTCCATTCAAAATCAATCAAAAATGTATATCAATCCATGATCAAATTTATGTTTGTAATATGTATCCTTAAAGAACTAAATATTTTGAATATACAGAGTGCAATATACACAGGTGTTAAACGGATACTTTCCATAGATTTATTACATGAATAAACTGAGAATACTTATATAAGAACTGTTTATTTCAAAAATATTCATAAGGAATTTCAACATGTATGAAACGACACAAAGTATTTTTTCAACTCTTCGTCTACATGTAAAATCAGTATTCTTATTATTTGTGCTGCACATTTCACAATTCTTCCTAATTGGAACGTACTTTGCTAAAAGCAAGAGACGGTAATTGGGGCCTGCCTGTCTGAAAACTTTCAGGGCTCTCACAACACTTTTTGGGACAGGGACCGGGGTCGTTCAAATTGGGAAAATTATCGACATTTGGGGAAAATTGGGAAAACTAACAATCATTAAAAAAAAAACATTAATTAGCATTTTGGTATCAATTTAATTCTGCTTTTAAATAAACAGAACAAACATGGACACTAAGACTATTATATGTCCAAAAATCTGTCTTTCATGTTTATGAAGTGCTCAATTGCCGTGTTCAACTGGCCAGGTGTCAGGGTGCCGTTGGACTCTGACACCTTGCGTATTATAGCATCCAAAGACCTTTGTTTGAGACAGCTCCGCTGGGAGTGCAAATAGTGTTCATCAGCGAAAAAAGCTTTTCAACACAAGCAGTAGAACTTGGAATGATGGTGGTCAACAGGACCAGATAATGGATAGCAGGATAAGATATTCTGAGAATATCATCCTGTTGCAGCTTCCTTAGTAGAAACGTAGGTTCTTCCAAGTCCTCTGTATAAGCCCTCTGTCTGTAAGCCAATGAAATTTGCCTAATGATAATCACATAATGACATGTAAAATTAAAAGTAAACTTATGAACTATCAGTTTCATATTAATATGTATTTAGTATTTATAAATTCATTTATTTAATTTTCTTGTTAATATCTAAATTGATAGTCTTCCAGTTACTTTACAACTCTGAAATGTAAGACTTCTTAATACAAAAAGTAATTTGTGTTAATTTGATTTAGTCAGTGTTCAAATGGTCACATTTTTTAGAAAAAATCATTCATATAACCAGGACAACAATGCATCTTGACTTCAAACAGGTCACGTCATCTAAAATAAAAATTGTCTCCAGGCAAGTGGACTTAAAAACTGAAAGTGAAGACTTCATGTCTGAATAAAAATGCAAAAATATTAATAAATGGTTTAGTTATCTTTTAAAAGAACAAAAACAGAAGTGTGTTAGTATTGAATCAATACCAGTCCAAATTAATCAATTTCATGAACAGTTAACAATTTGCAAACTCATAAAACTTGTATACCTAATCAGGAACATTTTATGCTTAAAGCCTGCATATTGTTTTTTGTAAGTGTCTTCACTAAATACTGGGTATGAAACTGAAATATGACTCTAGAAGTTGTCCTCAATCCTTCGCCCATAGTGGGCTGCTAAAGATGCCATGTCTGCCTGAGAAAGACATTAAGTTCAAAGAATGCCGCATTTCTCAAGTACATGTTATATACTATGTGATTTTCTAGATGCGCACTAATATTCCACTGACTTGTATGTGTTAAAATAAATTGAATTTCCACTTTTAAATCATACTATGGTTTATGCAACCTCTCCAAATTGTGCAAGCTCTTAAACTGTCCTGGGACCGTTCACGGTAGCTCAGTCGGTAGAGCGCTCGCTCCGTGATCGGGAGGTCGCGAGTTCGAATCTCGGCTGCGACAGACCTAAGTCGATAAAAATGGGTAGCAACTGTTCCTTCGCCATGCGCTCGGCACTTTGAAGTGAAAGTTGCGGGTCCTTCGGATGAGACCTTAAAAACCGTGGCCCCGTGTCACGGCAGGCGTGGGCACGATAAAGATCCCTCACTGCTCAATGGCCCTGAGTGCCGAGTAAAGGTCAAAATTTGAAGCCCTTCACCGGTATATGGTGACGTCTCTATATGAGATAAAAAAAATTCTCCAATGGGACGTAAGACAACATACAATCAATCAATCAACTGTCCTGGGAACATCTTTCAGCTCCAGAGCTTTAAAGCTAGAGAGAACAGAGGAGCAATGAAATCCATCCTGTAGCTCTCCTACTAGGGCATTGATGAAGAGCACAGCAAGCTATCAACACTTGCTCCATATTATGAATGTCTACATGCTGACTGATGAGTAAAAAATTGGACATTAATATCCATATGTACAATATTAATCAACTTAATTGTCTTCAGAAACTTAAATGTAATTGATCTAATTAATTTATTATGAATAAAACTTGAAAACTTTGACTAACCGTATTTTTCTTGCAAGTTTAGTTCTATCTGCAATTTCATCCCATAATGTTGGGAGCTTAGAGAAGTATAAATCCCGATTTCCATCACAGTTTTCAGTACAAGTTCTAGACCAGTCGTCTGTAAGGTGATGCAGCTCATCAATCAAATCCTTAAAGTAAAAAACATATCATTAATATATGAGTTGTAAAATCTAAGCTATAATATATAACTAGTGCTAATTGTAACGGGGACCGTTACAGATGTTCCCCAAACGCTCCCCAACTCCCTTTAAAAGTCTTATTCCCTGTGAACTTCATAATAAAAGGCAATCAAGTATTTTTGTCATTTTACGCATTGCACGCGCGCCCACACGCAGGTATGTGCATGATGACCATGTCATATAGTCTACACTTGTTAGTGTGAGTATCAAAGCATTTTATCAATAATATAAAAAGTAACGGCTATATCAAGAATATTTTTTATTTTGCGCATTGCGCGCACGTGCATGCATGATGACCAAGTCATCTTGTCTACACTTTTAATATATCTAAATATTTTGAGTATCAAAGCATTTCATCAAAAGGTATAAAAATTACGACTTTATCAAGTAAATTGGTCATTTAACGCTTTGCGCACGTGCATGCATGTTGACCATGTCATCTCGTCTACACTTTTAATATATCCTTATATTCTAAGTATCAAAGCATTGCATCAAAAAATATAAAAGTTAAGAATATATAACAAATTTTTATTAGAAATTAGCAATAAGTGTAATAGTTTATTTTCATGTAGATAACTTGAATAATGATCGCCGGAGTTATTTTTGAAAATGTTTATAAAATTTTGTAATATGTCATAAAATGTGTGCAAAATTTGTATAATTTTTTACAGAAAATATCACAAAGTCGCATAGTTGAACACCAAAGAATACCCACGATTTCATTATATTTTAGGATTTTATTTACGCCATATAATCGGATTAAACGTTCTTTTTTCAGAATTTATCGACGTGTAAACTCATGCCTTTGTATTCAAAATCTGAATAAAAGTGCGAAGAACGTTTAATTCTTATAATTCCAATTACAAGTTTTTAAATTATTTCTCTTTGAAGCCTCACCGTTCACGGTAGCTCAGTCGGTAGAGCGCTTGCTCCGTGATCGGGAGGTCGTGAGTTCGAATCTTGGCCGCGACAGACCTAAGTCGATAAAAAATAGGTAGCAACTGTTCCTTCGCCATGCGCTCGGCACTTTGAAGTGAAAGTTGCGGGTCCTTCGGATGAGACCTTAAAAACCGAGGCCCCGTGTCACGGCAGGCGTTTTCACGATAAAGATCCCTCACTGCTCAATGGCCCTGAGTGCCGAGTAAAGGTCAAAATTTGAAGCCCTTCACCGGTATATGGTGACGTCTCTATATGAGGGAAAAATTCTCGAATGGGACGTAAAACAATATACAATCAATCAATCAATCATATATTTTAGTATTTTATTTATAACATTTCTATTCAAGTTCAGTCAGAGATTATAAACCGATCCATGCATTGAATATTTTGTTTATGTTATTTAAAATTAGTTACCGAAATACCGTGTTGTAAAAGTCATCTACATCCTTCACCTTTCTGTTTAAAATTCTGCTACAAATCGTGAGGCCATTATTTTCATACTGAATTGACTACGGATTTCTACCCGATAATGTCAAAGGAACACGGCTCGTGTGACCGATCGACAAGATATGGTTACTACTCAATGGCGCCTGATCCACCTCTGATGTTTCCCGAGGCCTGTTTTCTCTGTTCACAATTTATATATTTTCATTGCTTGACTTTTGAGTATGGTTACTGACCGTTATCATCACATTTCATTTAGACTAGGCATGTGATGTATTTATAGGGGTTCAGGTACAAATTTTCGATGAGATATATTCAAATAAATATATCTAGCATGAACATGGACACATTAAGAAATATAAAAAACTTTACTTGGTGAAAAAATTCTCCAAGTAGAACAGAAGTTATGACATTTTCAATTTTGTAAATACTGTCATTTTATGTAAGAAAATTTAACTAGACATTGGTACTGAATGATGGCACACGGAGGGAAGGAAAATCCTTTAAATTTAAGTAACTTTAAAGGGATAGAGTCTTATTTTATTTAGAAGTATGGCAAACTATATATTTTCGGAAAGGTCTGCAAGTCCTTATTTCTTGTTTCCATGGCAGCTGACAAATATTCAAGATGGCGGCAAAATATCCAATATGGCCACCAGTAGTGAAAATGGCCTACACATCTTACTGATAAAATACTTTCAGAATCATGTAAATTAGGAATAATAAGATTTAATTTATTACTTCTAAAAGATTTATGGAAATAGTCTTCTAAATCAAATATGGTCACTAAAAGCCAGAGATATGCCCGGGCATCGCAAGAAGAAAGCTTTCAAAATTATGAACATGGCAAGGGTGGGGGAAAAAGAAATTAGTACAGTTAATTCACAATTTTATTTCATATAGATCTTTAAAATACAATGATATCACGTTTTCAATATCAATTAATAATTGTTTATATTTAAACTGAATTATCCGTAATTCCAGGTCCAGTTGAGCGTAAGTTCATTTCGGACATCTGCTACTACCGGCGGGTACCATAGTCATGATATGGAATGATCCATCATTTCAGAAGTGTACTTGCTGAAACAAAATTTAACGAAGTATCTTGTTCACAAGCAAAAATAAATAAGTAAATTTATAAGTAAATTAAAAAAAAATTTCTTTTAATGTATCACAACTAATTTTTTAGACGTTCAGTTAATTATGGGGTGTTTCTGAGGAAATCGTGGCTACACAATCAAATTTGTAGATAGAAATGACCATAGTTTTCATAGATTTATTCCAACAAGTCTAAAGAAATTAAATCTTAAATTTTCCATTTTCTCTTGTTGTATTACGATAAAAAATTATGCATGTTAGAAACAGTGTTCAAAAGTCGCGTCGCGGTGATGATTTTAGGAATGTAATCCCTGTGAATTGTTTTTGAAATGATTACAGAACAACAATATTCAGATAAGAAAGTTTCTCAGCCTCCTGATAGTGTATGTGGCATAAAATTATTCCGTTTACTTACCGTAGTAAACTTGATCTTTCTCCTTTGAAACGAAAATACACAAACTTCTACACGTTGCATTAGGATGCAACAATAACCACATTAATCTTCAAAATGTTACCTTTCCTGTGATGTCAATGTCGTTCATTTCTTAAAAATTGCCTTCCGGAAAGCCAATCAAAATGACGCTATCAACGTCACGGGGATAAAATTACAGCGTCATGCAACGAAAGAGAAATCTTGCTTCCAATTTTAGCAAAACTTCGACCTGGTTAAGTTTTATTGTAAACTTAGTGGAATGACATAACACACATCATATGAAAGTTCGAACAATTTAGACGGTTCATTATTTTTAATTTCTAGATAATTATGATTAATAACGCAAAAATTACGTTTATAAACACCAGTGATTTGCGTGTAAACGGCACCGATTACATAGCTATAAAGTCGAGTTACCTGAGCCCCCTACTAGATGTAATCATAAAAA